GGCGGGGGGGGAGTGGCAGGGCCGGGTGTGGCCCTTGCCCAGCCCCGCAGGCGCGAGCAAAGGGCAGCATGCCGGCATGCCGCAGCTATTCCTGGAGCAGCGGGGCTTCCAGAATGCTGGCTATTTCCCCGTGGGCTCTGACTCCCCCCTGCCTGGATGCCGGGGGGCTGCCCCGCCCCTGCCGCGGCCGACCCCCACCTCGTCACCATGCTCCTGGGAAGGCACTGCTCCTGTCCCCATTCCTCTCTGCCCCACGGACCCCCTGGTGCAGCAGGGAGCCCCAGGCAGCCCCCCAGAACCGACGCCAGCTCGTCCTCGGGGTGCTTGCACCCCGCTGGCTGGGCTCACGCGTGTGCCCGGGGTGCCTGGCAGGGGCAGGACTGGTGGGAACGGGGCAGGACTGGTGGGAACGGGGCACCGTGCCCCTTTCCACATCCCCTGGCAGCCCAGGGTGGGGTGCCGTGCAGGCTTTGCTCTGGGAAGCATTCCCTGGGGCGGCTGGTGGCTCTGTGGATGGGCAGCCAGAGCTGAGCCCCGCTGGAAGGGGTTAACGAAGAGACGGCCCAGGACAGAGCCTGTAAACACAGCTGGAGCTCCAGGAAGTGCCGCCTCCTTCTCCCGCTGCCTGCCAGGCTGCCTGGACCCCCTCCCTGCCCACCCTGCCAGGATGAGCGCAGGGATAGCAGGTCCCCCCCCATCCCAGCCCACGTGTCTGAGCATGGGAAAGTGAAATCACTGCCCGGGCATTGCTGGAGGCTGAGCGAATGGCCACCATGCCTTACATGAGCCGCCAGTGATGCAGTGGGTAACCGCTACCTCATCTCACTGGCATGGGTGATGCTGCCGAGGCCTGCAGGAGGGCAGACAGACACCCCAGCATCCTCATGGGCTATGAGGGTGGCCAGTCATCCCTACATCCACGTAGATCGTGATGGCAGCTGGGCACCCCCGGCACCCCCATGGCCACAGGGGCAGGTGAATATCCCCATGGACCTCGAGGGCAAGTGGACATCTTCAGCCTGCCCCTGGGCTGCAGGGGTGGGTGAACACCCCCAGCATCCCCACGGATCACAGGGTTAGCTGGAGATGAGTGATGGGGGCAGGCATATGCCTGGAGCATCTGCATGGACATGGAAGTAGCTGGTCTCCTCCAGCATCTACATGGCCCCGGGGGCAACAGGTCACCCCTAGTGTCCTTGTGGACCACAGAGGCAACAACTCACCCTGAGGACCTACACAGACCCAGGGGGGCAAGCAAACACCCCCCAGCATCCATATAGGTTATGGGGGATAGTTGGACACCCCCAGCATCCACACATGCTGTGGGGCAGCCAGGGACCCCCAGCATCCCTGTGCTGCTCAGAGACAGGCCATCATCCCCAGCATCCCCATCACCTGGGGACACGGGTGGGGACCAGGGGCAACCAGACGGGCTGCGCACCCACACTGCCGGCCCTGAGCCCGGGGGTGGGCGAAGGTATGGGGGCAGCTGGGGTGAGCAGCAGGTGGGGGGCTGCAGCCTGCAGGGCACCCACCAGCTCCCGGGACCCCGGCGGGCCGGGCTGGGCTGTGGTCCAGGCGGGGAAGGAGAACCATCTCCTATTTAGACAATAGCATGCGCCCTGGGTCTGTCAGCGCCGGGGAATGGGCCGCACGGTCCTTCCCTCTTAGGGTAAAGGCGCCTGGGAGGCTCATGGCTGTAAAAGGAGCGGGATGGAGGGAGACGGCTGGGGGCCAGGAGGGAGGGGGACGATGCTCCTGCTGCTCCATTCCCAACCTTTCACTCACCCCTGAGGCAGGGCTAGCCATGAGGGGGGCGCAGGGGCCCCGGCGGCAGGGTACGGGGCCGAGGAGGGGCTGGCACCCCAGGCGGACCCCCCCCCATCCCAGCCCACGTGTCTGAGCATGGGAAAGTGAAATCACTGCCCGGGCATTGCTGGAGGCTGAGCGAATGGCCACCATGCCTTACATGAGCCGCCAGTGATGCAGTGGGTAACCGCTACCTCATCTCACTGGCATGGGTGATGCTGCCGAGGCCTGCAGGAGGGCAGACAGACACCCCAGCATCCTCATGGGCTATGAGGGTGGCCAGTCATCCCTACATCCACGTAGATCGTGATGGCAGCTGGGCACCCCCGGCACCCCCATGGCCACAGGGGCAGGTGAATATCCCCATGGACCTCGAGGGCAAGTGGACATCTTCAGCCTGCCCCTGGGCTGCAGGGGTGGGTGAACACCCCCAGCATCCCCACGGATCACAGGGTTAGCTGGAGATGAGTGATGGGGGCAGGCATATGCCTGGAGCATCTGCATGGACATGGAAGTAGCTGGTCTCCTCCAGCATCTACATGGCCCCGGGGGCAACAGGTCACCCCTAGTGTCCTTGTGGACCACAGAGGCAACAACTCACCCTGAGGACCTACACAGACCCAGGGGGGCAAGCAAACACCCCCCAGCATCCATATAGGTTATGGGGGATAGTTGGACACCCCCAGCATCCACACATGCTGTGGGGCAGCCAGGGACCCCCAGCATCCCTGTGCTGCTCAGAGACAGGCCATCATCCCCAGCATCCCCATCACCTGGGGACACGGGTGGGGACCAGGGGCAACCAGACGGGCTGCGCACCCACACTGCCGGCCCTGAGCCCTGGGGTGGGCGAAGGTATGGGGGCAGCTGGGGTGAGCAGCAGGTGGGGGGCTGCAGCCTGCAGGGCACCCACCAGCTCCCGGGACCCCGGCGGGCCGGGCTGGGCTGTGGTCCAGGCGGGGAAGGAGAACCATCTCCTATTTAGACAATAGCATGCGCCCTGGGTCTGTCAGCGCCGGGGAATGGGCCGCACGGTCCTTCCCTCTTAGGGTAAAGGCGCCTGGGAGGCTCATGGCGGGAAAAGGAGCGGGATGGAGGGAGACGGCTGGGGGCCAGGAGGGAGGGGGACGATGCTCCTGCTGCTCCATTCCCAACCTTTCACTCACCCCTGAGGCAGGGCTAGCCATGAGGGGGGCGCAGGGGCCCCGGCGGCAGGGTACGGGGCCGAGGAGGGGCTGGCACCCCATCCCCGCATCCTGCCCGGCTCTAAGCCCTGAGATGTCCGCAGCCTGAGGAGGCTGTGCTGGGCTCCCCGGGTGGCTTAAATCCTGGGGGATCAGTGGGGAGGGAGGGCCGGGGAGGAGGGGCAGCCGAGAGATGCAGCTGGCTTTGCTCACGGGGATGTCATGACCGGAGGGAGTTGTTTGACATTCCAGCTCCCGACGCCTTCCCGGCAGCAGCCTCCTCCCAGGGCCTGACAGGAGCTGGGGCCGGGCCAGAGCTGGGGCTCGGGGGCCGCTTCCCAGGCTCCGCCGGTCTGGGTCAGCCTGGCCTGGGCTGGAGCCACGGGGAGGCTGAATGGGGCTGGACAGGAGAGGAGGCAGCATCCCTCCTGCTGTCTCCCTGTGTTGCACCCCCGTGCTGCTGCTCTCTGCTTTTCGCAGCCCCTGGGGATTCAGCTGGCACGGATTGCTTGGGGCTGTGTCCCTGGGATGGGACTCTGGCAGGGTCCCCAGGTCCCGCTCCTCGCCCCCTGGTTCCTGTGCCGCCGGGTCCCGTGCACAGACGGGGCTTTCCTAAGAGTCTGTGGAAAGTCCGAGGCATCCATCCGCCCTCTGCCAGCCATGGGGCCCCTGCCTGCACAGAGCCATCCCGGAAGGCTGTCACGGCAGCCGAGGAAAAGCCACTTCAAACAGTTTGTCCTAGAGCAAGGTCAGGAGGATGCTCCTGGTTAACCCCTCTGAGCCGTTTCCCCTCCTAGCAGCAGTGCCCAAGAGTGTGTTTCCCTACCCCGGGGCACCCCAACCCCGCAACCCCCCTGCTCTGTGGGAGGGGGAGGGAGACAAGGGCTCTCCAGGCCTTGGGAGGGGTTTGCATCGCTGCAGGCATGGCTGCTTGAAGCACCAGGGCAGGGTGCCGAGCATCACTGGACACACCACCCCTGGGGTGCCCATCCTCCCCACACTCCAGCCAGCGGGGCAGCGGGATGGGGTCACAGGAAGGGACGGTTGAACAGTACAGCTGGCACAGTCCTGGCGCAGACCCCTGGCGTCCCCCGCGCTGGTGTGGGCACCCACCTGCCCCTCTGCACCCCAGCCAAGGGCTGGCATGCCATCCTGCTGGCACTCGAGGTGGCATGGGGCAGGCAGGGCGTGCGTGCGTGGCTCAGGGATGCGCAGGGCACTCTCGGAGCAGGGCCAGGAGGAGGAAGGATGCTGTCTGTTTTTCCACCTTCTTCCCCCCACCCCCCAAGCCCCCCCTTCCTTCCATTCTCCTCCCTGCGCTGGGATGAAACAACCCCATCTGGAAATACCTTCCCTTTTAAAGGCAGGCTCCGCCAGGCAGCATGCACCCTCCGGGAAGCCACTGCATTACGCTGCATCTAGGCGGTCAGGAAGGGATCAGGGATAGGGGGCTTGGGGGGGCAGCCTGGAGGCAGGGCACAGAGCCTCTGCCCACCTGCGTGGCTGCAGGGCCCAGACCTTTGCTGGCCCCCCAGGTGGCAGGGGGCTGGCAGGGGGCTGGCAGGGAGCAGGCAGGAGTGCCTCCCGGAGCCAGAGCAGTTGAGGATGCTGCCATGACCAAGCCCCAGTCTTTGCCATGCCGATGCTGCCATAGGCGAGTCCTGGCACCTCTCGGCATCTGCGTTGCAGCCGGGGTGGGGGGCCGGGAGGTGCGGGGCTGGGCAGGGCTGAGCGCTGCTCCTGCTGCTGAGTCACCCGGTACCCAGTGGCACAACAGTCCCCTCTGCCAGGGCCTCCAGGGACAGAGGCGCTGGGGCTGTGCCAGCTGATGTCAGCCAAAACAGCCTGGCTTGGGCAGGGCTGGGGGTCACCAGGTGTGCTGGGGGGCCTGGGAAGGAGGTGTGCTGCCCGGGCAAGGGGGACCACCCCGAGGGGGTCCCCCAGCACAGCCCCCCTCTGTCAGAATGTTCTCTTTAGCTGGCATGGGTTTGTGCGTGGCCTCGGGGGTCCCTGCCCTGGCCCACCGCCTGTCCAGGAGGTGGGAATCTGTGGTGGGGGTCCTGGGGTGAACTGGGGTATTCCCCATTCTGGGAAGGTTTGGGGAGCTGGGCTGGGCTTTCTGCTCCCCAGAGTACTGCCAGGCCAAGGGGGAGGCTGAGGAGACAGGACAGAGCCTGCAGCACCCCGGGATGACCTGGGGACCTTGTCCTGCTCTTGGGGTGATGGGGACCAGGGAGGGGCTGGGGCTGCTCCAGGCAGGGTCCCCATCCAGCCGTGCTCTCCATACACCTGGCGCAAGAAGGGTTAACAGGGTGCCTCCCCCGGCTATAAATACCACGTATGTATGTCCCACGCGTATGAGCTTGGAAGGCTATTTTGGTTGGGTGCCTGCTGCTTCGGGAATGTGCCTGAGTGAGGACCCGGCGGGGGGGGTGAGGGGCTGGGGCTGCTCCAGGCAGGGTCCCCATCCAGCCGTGCTCTCCATACACCTGGCGCAAGAAGGGTTAACAGGGTGCCTCCCCCGGCTATAAATACCACGTATGTATGTCCCACGCGTATGAGCTTGGAAGGCTATTTTGGTTGGGTGCCTGCTGCTTCGGGAATGTGCCTGAGTGAGGACCCGGCGGGGGGGGTGGGTGTGTGTGACATCACCGTCACCAGCGCCGCTTGGACCTGCTCAGGGCTCAGGGCCACTCAGCAGCACACTGA